CACACTGAAATAGTTGTGGCCAGCTTGCAGTGCTGAGTCCTAACTAGTTGCACCACCAGGGAGGGCCTCCTGTTCTGGAATATTTCTACCACTCTAACTCTACAAACTCAGTTCCCACTCATAGTAGGTGTCTTTACTTTGAAACTGTCTTAGTTAAATTTTTACAGACTCCCTGACTACCTCTAGATATCTTTATCCACACTATTGTTCTTACAGAAGTCATGCTTTTCCCCCTCAGACCATTCTGACTGTTCAAATTTCAGTTCTCATTTCCATACATCTTCTTTGATGTATCTTTTGCTACTTAGTGTTAGTTGTCTTTTTATGGTATATTCTGCTGCCTCGACTAACGATAAAAATCAAGGGCAGAGGGCCCTCCCTGGTGGCGCAGCGGGTTAAAGCACAGCACTGAGAATCTAAAGTCGCTTCTGCATGAGTTCGATTCCCGCCTGCCCCGGAGGTGACCACATGGCGTGGCAGACCTCTCCTGACCCGCCCGCTGCTCCCCTCAGCAGTGTACTTCGTCGATCTGCCTGTTCTGCTCCCACTCTGTCTCTGGTGAATCCTCTCACCCTCCGCATCTCTGGCCTGTACACTGCCCCTGCACCTCTGGCCTGTACCCCAGTTCTGTATGAATAAATAAATAAATCTTTAAAAAAAAAAATCAAGGGCAGAAATCTTAATATGATTTGTATGTAGTTTCTTAACATTTGCACTTAATAAAGCTGATTGTTAAAGTATAAATTATTGTTTTGCATGAATAATATTTATTTGTTGCACATTTTATAAATTCTTGTGCTATCATACTTGAAAGGTTAGAAAAAGTACTTGAAAGTTTGGAAAAATAACTATTAATGAAATTACAAATCTGTGCCTGTTTCAAGATGATCAGTTAGTTTTCTCCAAGAACATGGCAGAATCAGTGGACTAAATTCAGCAATACCTAGAGTATTACCTGACTGTCTTGCAGAAGCAAATCTGGCATCTAGAAATCATTCAGCAATATATCTGGAATGCATAAGAATGCAGAGGGTGGAGTGTGGCTGAGTTCATCCTCACTGTAAAAGGGAGTTCAGCAGAGAGCACATTATGATGGTCAGGGTTGCCTGAGGTCAGAGGAGCAAACCGAAATGGTGTTATCTAAACTGGGGTGCTGGCAACTCTGTCCCTTGAGGGACAGCCCCATTTCAGTAAACTCACCCAGAGAGCACAAACCAGAACCTGGAACCAGGCACTGTCAAGCCTTCGGTATTACTAGCCAAGATTTCTAGGACTTAAGTGCCTAAGTGAGTGAGACATCTAAAGAACACAGCTGCTATTAAAGTAGATGGTAGACTAAACCATCAATGTGGTCATGCAGAATGAATAGAATGAGGAAAGTTTAAGTGTGAGAAATGTTTCAAGAAATGTTAAGATTCTGAAGATGCTTAGATTTACAGTAAGAAGTCAAGGGGATGTACTCATTGTGAAAAATATGAAATTTGAAATGCAAATATTGGGATGAAAAGACAGCGCCAATGCTGAAAATTATTGAACAAGAATATCAGATGACAGAATTCTTCCAGAAGATATCAAGGAAGTTTTAAAAAATGAATAAGTTCATCAATCAGTAAGTAAAGTGAAATGGAAAGTACAAGTTTTATGTTACATCCATGGACTAGAGATCCTGGAAAGAAAAATGAACATGAGAAAGAAGAAAATCATTGAAGAAATAATTTACGAGCTTTCTAAATATAAAGATTGTAAGCCTCATGTTTAAAGTAAGTCAAGAATACCAAAGGGAAAGAAAATACTTATCTAAACACAGGGTAGTAAAATGTTACAGGCTGTATGACAGAGAACAAATTTTAAGAGAGAAATAAGATATCTCAGCCTAACATCAAAATCTTAAGCAGCCACATTCATATGAAAAAGGAAAAAAATCATAGATGTAGATGTATTTTAGGGCATGGACTTAGAGCTTAGACTTTCCTGTTTGGCTAATCGGTGTCAAAACCTGAAGGCACGACTAATCATACATTAGGCACATATGCCCAAGATAGTTGCTATTTGCCTACCTAGCACCATTCTCTTGTCCATCCCTAGACTAAAGAGATGCTTGCAGTTGGGAAATGGGAACCACAGACACATGAGAGGAGGAGGAAGAAGCCAGGTCTGCCTCTGGTGCCTCCCTGAAGGAGAGTTTGGACTGGCTGCCTGGTCTACCCAAGGTCACAGCACCTGCTCCATGGCTCTCAGCCTGGCTCGCTCACTATTCACCTCTTCTTTTTCTCCTCCTTCCTTTCTTCCTCTTTCATCTTCAGGCCTTTTCTTTTTTCTATACACTAACCCTTTCTTTTTTCTATACCCTGCTCGCATCTTCGTTAATGGTTCCTTTGTTAATCGTGCCTCGAATTACTGAGTTTGACAAGAAGTTTGTCATAAAACATAATTCAGAGAGCACTTTTGAAGGAAGTTTATGGTGGCTGCTACTAATTACGTGGAAAATAAGGTTGAGTAAATTACCTGTTGTTAATTTCAACTGTCTGTTTTTAATTTCCCAAAGATTTATTAAGTGTTCCTTTTGTAGTATGCTTTATTTATGGATTTACAAAAACATCTTAAATCTCTTGGAGAATATGAATTAAATTCAATTCTAAGTTCTCTTTTGTAACCTTGAATTATTTGACTACTCTAGAGCATAATAGTCTACCTCAATTTCTTATTCTTGTACCTTCATTTTCCAGAGTTTTCTAAAATGTTTACAAGTACTTCAAGAATGCAAAAATGTGAACTAACCACAGCTCTGTGAACAGGGGTTGAGTGTAGTAAGTGGTTGATCTTGATTTGGAGTGATGGATCATCGCCCTTGGACACTGAGATTTCTGCCAGTTGTCATTCTAAATGATGTAATTCTTCAGCTTCTTTTTAATAAATTATTTTAAATTATTATTTTAAAAGTATTCTTACTAAGGAAATGCTGATTTTCAGGTCTGTGGAGTTCCATATTATTTAGGGGTTCCAGTTCACACTTCTTCAGATTATGTTACTACAGTGCACCACCATCACAGTCCCACCCCCAAACCGCTGCTCTTCTGGTAGCCTTAGTTCTGTACTCACATTTCAAGGATTTATGTGTATGTGTGTGTGTGTTTACTATATTCCACATATAAGTGAAATTTGTCTTCCTCCTGATATTTATTTTACTTTAGCATGATTCCCTCCAGTTCTCTTCATGTTTTACAAGTGACATGATTTCATTTTTTCTTTAGTGAACAGTATTCTATTGTGTATACATACCACCACATCTTCTTAATCTACTTATCTGTCCTTGGGCACTCACACTGTTTCCATACGTTGCAGTAAACAGAGGAGTGCATATGTCTCTTCCAATTCTTGCTTTTGCATTCTTTGGGTGGACACCTAGGAGTGGAAATACTGGATCATATAACAAATGTATCTTTAATATTTTGAGAAACTGCCACACTGTGTTTCGTGGGGTCTGTATTCCTACCAACAGCATGCAAGAGGTTCCTTTTTCCTCCACATTCTCTTCAACACTTTCTGTTCCTTTTGATATGGACCATTCACACTGGTGTGATATGGTGTTTTATTTTGATTTTGATGTATATTTCTCTAATAAGAGTTGTACATTTTTTCATGTACATTTTGGCCATCTGTATATTTTCCTTGGAGAAGTGTCTATGTCTTCAAGAGGAAACCTGTGCCGGGAGGGAGGAAGTGTGAAGGACTAACAGGTCAACGTTCTAAGAGTCAATCTTTATAAAGTGAATGATGCAGTATACTACAGTTGGCTAACTGTTCTGTGGATAAATAATCAGTAATTTTTTTCTCTTTTCAGGCATCTCTTTCTCTTACTCTCTGATGTGAATAGTATCTAAAAGACCCTGAGTCTCTAGAATTCTGTTGAAAAGAATAATTCCCTCCTCCTCCTGTAACCCACACTGTGTGTGTTCCACCCTGTGACTAGCTTTGCTGGTTTTGTTTTTTTTTTACATCATTATGATGCTGAGAACACCATCCAGTATTCATTTTCAAGAAATTTATAGAAAATTCTCATCTGCTATAACTACCCTCTCTCCTCATTATTATGAACTTATATATTTTGTTATTCTCATATTCTGATATGATCTCAACAGGGAGGGAAAAGATGTTTATACTGTCTGATATCTAAACAAGAAATTATTTCATAGTTATTGTGAACCCATAGTTGGTGGAATTTAGGGGAAAACTGTTGTATTTGAAATGCTTACACTCTTTGGAGAGAATATATAATTTTAGACTTCTCAGATACTCTTTTTCCTTGAAATATCTTTTTTTAATTGCCTTTTCCAGTTAACTACACATTCATTTGGGAAATAGCTTACACTTAGGTTTGGTTGAGTTAATACAGTTTTGTAAATGTAGCAGCAGCAGAAGAATCCAGCATAGTTCACTGAGTAGAACTGGTATTGATTATTGGGGCCCTGTTTGTTCCAGGGTTCTGGATTATTCTTTATGTACAACTGACATCTGAACTGAACAAAGCCAGGTGTAGGATACGGAGTGATGTTCCATTGCTTCCTGCTCCAATAAATGCAAAGGAGGGCATCAAGTGAGAATGCTTCTTGGTCATATGGAGAACCTGGAGGATATAGTTACAGGATTGGCCTGGTCCAGGAAGGAGAGGTGAAAAGATTTGCAAGGCCTGGGACTAAGTCCCTGCAAGGGAATAATTTTTTTTAAAGTTATTTTTTTCATCCCAATTCAGCAGTACACAGAATGTCACATGACTGGCCATATAGGAAAAAAAAACTAGTGCCAGAAACATTTATTTATAGGTGATTTTTTTTCAAAACCCACTTTTATAATCTACAAGGATGGTCTACTAATTTTTCAATACTGTGTTTTTGCAGGTGGTGTCACATGTTTATGGAAAATGATTTAATGTTTCTTCTTTTTGTCATTTTAAATAATAAATTGCATCTTTGTTTAAAATAATTTTCTCTTGAAATTGACATATGTATGTCAATATTGAAGACATTGTTAACTTGGAATTCAATTCAATACCATTTCGACAGTTCAGAATTCAATGGATCAGGTTGTCATTTGACGTGTTTTCTCTCCACTGGCGGTTCACACAATTTGACTTCAATATTGCCATCTCTGAATGCTTCTCCTTTGGTCTCCTCTATGGGGTTTTCTCTCCGGGAAAACACTCTTTTCTTCTGCATCATCGAAATTCCTGAGTTTCCATGCTGTCGTACTGGAGACACTGTTTCTTTGACTAGGCAGTAACAAACTGCAGATAAAAAGTTTTTTTTGAAGTTTTCATTCAAAAATGCATAAACAATGGGATTACAAATGGAATTGGAGAATCCAATTATTTGCACTATTGCGAAAACCATCTTGATTGTAACATCATCATATTCCTTTTCAAAATTACCTGAGACAGAAAGCAGTGCTTTAGAATGCATATATGTTTTCATGAGCAGAAAAGCAAAAACTTCTACTTATCAACAGTCTTTACCAAGAATTCTCACACTTGTACAAGTGGCTAGAGGTGTGAAAAATTCTCAATACCACTTTGGGAAGAGTCATTGACATGTGAAGAAAACAAGATGTCTTCATTCTCAGAGAAGCTAAGGCCATAGGCACAGCCCAGTCCCAGCCCATATGGGCTTATGGGCTTGCTGTATTTCAATTTAAATGCAAGCTCTGTGTGACCTGAAAGGAGCAACCCTTCACGAATAGAATCACAGTTATGAGTGCCACATTAAGCCTGAGTTTATCAGAGAGAATACACCAAAGTTCTGGCTAAGACCCCTTGCATTACGAAATTCAGGTTGCTCCAGTCAGAGCTTCAAGTAGGGAACGCTGCTGGGATGTCAGCTTTCTGCAAGTTTAAGTGGCTTGACACAAGGCATCACAAAGACGAGGGTCTCGAAAGTGTTCCATTGTCTTCTGTTACTACTGAAGATTTAGCCATAGTCAAACATATTACCTCCCTGCCTACCACATCTGTGGTATGGTGGTTTGCTATTTGCTCCCAAGTGAACAGCAACAAATATCAATGACTCCGAGTCCATTCTAGCAGGAAATGAAACACAACTTCTACTCAATGAGAGCTGCAGGTACTCACTGTATTCCATCATCATGTGAACGATGTGGAAAGGCGCCCAGCACACGGCGAAGAGGGCCACCACGGTCACCATCATAATGACAGCACGCTGCTTCTTCCTGCACCGCCAGGACACGCTGCATTAGCTCCCTTCTCAGCAAATGCATAATAAAATCGATGACAATGTTGCGCGGTAGAATTTGAGCCCCTCAACCGTATTTTTTCAAGTATTAATGAAACTTGTGGTAGGTTAGTTACCGTCTGTTTCTCATCCTTCCCTATTGCTGTTCCCTACTGTAAAATCCTGTACTGCTCATAGACATTCTCGTGCGCTCCGCCACAAGCTTAGCAGGGGTTATGTCTCTGATCTTCCCTAGAGACCTGAAGTCCCTTACAAGTCAGATGGCTAGTAAATGAGACCCATAGGGCTACTTTAGACATAAACGTAGAAGTCTAACTTCAGTGCCTAAGCTCTTACTTGTTTTATACTGAAAAGCACTCACGCCTTTGATGGAAAAAAAATCAATATTTATGAAACATGTAGACCCTGTGGATAGAATTAAATGTGCTCTTTTCTTATCTATCTGAATAATGCCATTAGTTCAGGAATCAAATTTGTTTTCTCCAGGAACTCCTCTAAAGGAGGAGAACATCTGCAAAGGAGCTACACTCTTGCGTGGCTCCTTGAGAAAAGGTCCTATGCATTATTTCTTATTTCACCCTGGTAGCCATTTCTTGCAAAGAAGTGGAAGAGCTAAGTCAACAACATGTCCAAAGGTGTGGGACAGCCTTGCCCCCTAGAAATTCAGAGGGATGATTTCTGTATACAGCTGGGCACTAGAGGTCACTGCATACTGAAAGAAACCATCAAGCTGTAGCTGTAGATTGGCTTTGTTTTTAATAGCCATCCAGTGCAGATGATAAAAACGAATAGCACAGCAATAAACTGCTCTAAAATTTCTAATAATACACTGATCAGCGAGTAAAACCCTTATATAAAATAAAGATATTGATAATATAATTGAAACAGCAGGCTCTGGTTTCCAAAGGCTCTTCCCATAAGAGTGGCTTCCCTTTTACTTGGATGCTGGTGGTCTTGCTCTTTCTTCCTGCCCACACATCAAACCTCAAAAGTTTAAAGTCAGATCATGCCCTAAATATGAATGTCACATGACACCGACTAAATCGTCCAAGGGTTCAGAGCTCCCCGGAGAATATCCCTGCCAGCACAAGTAATTAAAACTAGTTGAAAGAGACGTGAATACTTCATTGAACCTACCTGGCTATTTTTGACATTTCTTTTCCGTGAATAGTTCGAAGCACCGAGCCATCTCCCACTCTTTTCTTTATCCAGAGTTCATAACCGATTTTACTGTACAGGATAAGCATCAGTGTAAGAGGCAGGAGGAAGAGGATGACAAGGATGAAGGTGGTGTAGATTTTCTGGTGCACCGGGCTGGTCCATTCCTCCAAGCAGCAGATGTGTTCTTTTTCATATAAGAAGTCATACTTAATCTTTAAAATAAAAATAGTTCCATTAGAAGAGCCAGCAGTCAGCATGAGAAGACCAGGAAACTCCCAAGTACCATTGCAAGGCACCTTTTTTCCACACTCCCCTGTGGCCCTTCAGAAAGTTGTAAGGAGCTGGGCTGGGTGACACGATCCCCTTGTGTGTCTCCAATTAGAATTTTAATTTATCAATTAATACAAAGTTGAGAAAGGACTTAAAAGAGAGACTCAACTCATAAGCTATAGTCAACATACATTTTTTTATGTGTCTAGAAATAAAGTTCTGGAACAACCACTGCAACCTTAATTCATAATGAGACCCTGGACGATATTAGGAAAAGGCACATTCACTGGCAGGTAAATGTAGAAAGTAAACCTGATAGCTTTTAATCATTAAGTCTTAATATAAGATCCAGAAAGTGCTAGATATAACAGGAGATAATCTAAGACAAAACATTGTACTGTCCTTGGGAAATCTTCAGTGGAATAACTGAGACAGTACAAATATGCTCTAACACCCTTGCAGAGAGGAAAATGACTGTAGTTGAGAGGTGGGGAGACATTTTAACAATACGATTCTCAATCCCCACCCCCAAAGTACCTCTAGTCGTTGTACGTGCCACATAGGTGAGCCAACGATGATTGCTACTAGCCACACCACACCTGTAAGCACATTAAAATCATCAGAATGCAACTCAGTGATGAAAAATGAGCCCGTGCTTAATCACGTTCCCAGAAAGTGTCCCTTTACTGAGTGCACCTGCTGTCTTTGCCCAGGGGCAGCGGGGTGATCCCCTCACATGGTCTCTGTTCCAGTCTGTCACTATCATCGTAATTACTCCTGAAGAGCCTTCCCTAAACACGTTTTAAGTGTTTAAAACTCTTTAATACTGTCTATTTCTGACAAATAGAAACCCAAACCACTTGGATCAATTAACCTGATCCATGAGGTTCTTACAGTACAGTGTTCTGGATTCATAAGTAAGTCTCTCCCTGCCCCCCACCTCACTACCATCCAGTTATTACCTCACATCCATTCATTTCTCCAGTGTTTCCTAGACATTTTGGAGAAATCAAGTCTGATTGGCTTAGTTCAGTGCCAGGCCTCCTAGCCCACTGCCAGTTTGGGACTATTTGTATGTGACTGATATAACCTGTGGCCACTCTGGGCAGCACTGCCCGGCAGGCTAGGGTCTCGGGCAGGGTGGCCTCAGCCAGGAGGTGGTGCAGGGCAGGTGGATATAGGGGTTCCCAGGTAGGGTAGCAGCAGTGGAGGTAGAGGCTGTAGACAACACTGCTCGAATCCCCTTTGGGGAGATGAACCACCTTGATGTAAAACCTTCCCCTGACTGCCTGATTTTGACTTTGCTTCTTGATGTTGAGACTCCTTCTACGTCTCTTTACTTTTTGATAACTCACCTCTGTTGTGTATTCCTTGCCTTCCCCTCATTCCACACCCAAGCACCGTGCTCAGCTATTCAGATGTTAGAGTGATGTCAATTATTAAAAGCCAAGAAGTCTTTGAATTCATTGTAGGGAGGATGTGGCATACATTTGAAATTAACTACCTGAATCTAATGGAAACAATTTCCCTATTGCTTTATCTACTCCCTTCAAACTATTTAAAATGAATTTGGCATCGCAAAGCCTCCAGGAGGTCATTCAGTGATTCTACTATTCCTTGCTGGCTACATTCTTTCTGCAGAAAAGAGTACTTGCTCATTCCACGCAAGTGGGATATCCGTCAAATCTGCTCTTTGGCTACCACACTGGTGCCCGCGTTAGCTCTGACTACTTGGGCATACTTCATCCACACCACTATGTCTCACATGCGATTGTCGATGGCTCGGTCATTATGATGGAAGGGAGAGAGGCTTCTGTTAGACTGTGCAAGACTCAGGGATGTGGTTTCACATCTGCTCTTTGTTACTAGATGCCTGCTTCTTATCACTTGTCGGGAAGAGGGAGAACAGGCAGAGGCTGTGGGATTGCCTGAGGCACAGCCATCAAGTGGGTAGAACATATCTTTCCCAGGCATCTCCAGCATTGGGTGCCGACTGTCCTCAGGGGCTCTGCTACTGTGCACCCCACTAGGGCAGCACCTCCATTCTCTACCTTCCTAACAATGTTCCTGCCTGTGTCAGGCAGCCTTAACAAGGCTTTCCTGCCCCTGCCCTAACAAGGACATCGGAGCTGCTAGACTTCTCCCTCGGGTGAGTTTATTCATCTAAGGTATGGTAGCATGGTCCTGCCACAACAGCTTGTCCCTGATCCATTGAGAGCAGCATTTGAAAGGATGAGACTCCAGCTGCAGAGGTCAGTCTGAAGTAAGAGACTGTGCTGAGACAGGCCTAAAGGATAGAGGTGGAGAGGGTAGCAAAAGCACAGGACTGACACCTTCAAATTACACCCTGGTGCCAAGACGCTCGGTGAGAATCTACTCCCCTAGCTAATGACTCTGGTTCTTTCGCAAGAACTTCTCTTTGTGTTGCTAGGAAGAAAGGCATCAGCACTGTGGCCGCCCCTGGGACCTCACCGAGCATGGTGAAGGCCCTTCGGTGGGTGTATTGGCGCTTCATTTTAAAGGGGTGTACAAGACCCTGGTGCCTCTCCACGGCAATGCAGGTCATGGTGAGAATCTCGGTCACGACGGCCGTGGACTGCACGAACGGTACCAGCTTGCAAACGAAGGCACCTGCAGCAGGAGACAGGGGCTCTTAGCCACAGAAGGACTTTGGGTTTGAGCTGTCTCTTTGTGATCATTATTAGGGGTAGTTCTGGGCTTCTGTTCAAAAGTCTTAGGGCTATAATTATGTAATAAACACAACATAATTGAGTAAGGTTGCATAGCTGATATTTTCTCTCCCAAAGTGGATCCTAAATTCCTAAATCATATGTAATTACGCATAATCAGACCATGAGAGAGCAAGTCAGACTCTGACTGATGATACTAGGAAAAAAAGGAAGTGTGACCGACCTTGCTTGAAAAAGAGCAAAGTCAATGTAAAGTAATCTTCTAGATTCTAAATGAGTAATCTTTGCTGTGGGTGCCCTGTCAAGTCACAGAGAGGGGTACTTCTCATCAGACATCCAGATGACTCCTTTACCTTTTATCGACCTTTGATGTTCTGTTCCAAACTTACACTCTTTTTTTTTTTTAAAGATTTATTTATTTATTAATACAGAACTGGGTACAGTCCAGAGATGTGGAGGGTGAGAGGATTCACCAGGGACAGAGTGGGAAGCAGAACAGGCAGATTGACAAAGTACAGTGCTGAGGGGAGCAGCGGGCGGGTCAGGAGAGGTCTGCCATGCCATGTGGATCTCCTCCGGGGCAGGCGGGGATCGAACTCATTGGGAAGTGGCTTAAGCTTTTTAGTGCTGTGCTTTAACCTGCTGCGCCACCAGGGAGGGCCCAAACTTACACTCTTAACTGATTTACTTTCCTTATAGCAGAAACGCCCAACTAGTACTCCCTAGGCAAGATATGGCCTGCAAACAAGCTTTCTGTGTTTTAAAATATTTGAATGCCTTGCCAATATTAAAAATGTTTATACTATCTTCTAGCCCTTGGCCATTTCTATTCATAACCTCTGTTGCGATGTCTCTGCTCTTCAGTTCGTCTTGCTCATTACTACCAAATTATTTCCCCCAAAACTAATTATTGTGAACTATCACAGAATCACAAGCTCTGGGAATGTAAGCTATTGCAAGCGCTCATTAAAAGCAGCAATCTCCTCATCTTCGCTCACAAATCTTCTCCAGATTCTACTCAGAAAGCTGCACGGGCGGTCTTCTGCTCACCTCAAGCTTTTATATGGCTCTCCATTCTGCATGGAATGCTCTTCTCCAAGATAACTCCCTCACATCCTTGCTAAGTTTTTGTCCAACTGTCACCTTTCCATTAAGTCTCACTCCTCACATTTCTTACTCTAGTGTTTCACTTTACAGCATACTATGTCATGTGCTGATTTATTGGTTCTCTTTTTCTACTGAAATGTCCTAAGCCGTGCTAGATTGTAAATGCTCGAAGAATAAGGGTTTTTCTCTCTTCTTCCCTGATGTATTGCACTCACTTAGAGTGTCACACAGAAGGCTCTCACTAAACATTCATTGAATTGAGGAGTCTCTTAACCTCCAAAGGTACCTCCATTCAGCCATTTGGAGAGGTTCCTTTTGGGGAAATTGCTTTTTAGTAATTCCACCCATTTCTAGTTGCTGGTTGTACTTTCAGAGACTTCCAAAACTAACCAACTATCTTTTCCAAATAACAGCTCTTCTTACATTTGAAAGAAATATCTCTCCTGAGTCCTTTTAGATGCCCCAATGGTTCTCCATTTGGCATGCTTTTCATCCGAGTTTCTTCTCCTCTTTTAATCAAATTGTAGATTTAAAAAATTGATCAGGCTAAGGTTAAAGACCACCAAAAGAAATGGGTATATGTCCATTATCAACAGATTTTAAATATCACTATCCAAACAAGTAAGACTTATTGTTGTCCTGGCTTTTGTCTTCCATTGTAGTATTCTGTCTGCTAAAGACAGCAGATCATCTTGTCCATCCTATGGGGATTTGCCAATGCATTCCCTGATGTCAATCAGGATATCACTGTGATTCTGATTCCTCTGATCTGTTAACCACTATGAACCTCAATTTCGTTATATACACAGAGGGAACAGTCTTTACCCATCAGTCACACTTATGTGAATGTTGCATAAATGACATCAGCACCCAGCACAGAAGGTGTAGTTTTACATTGGAAGCTCTGTCTGCATTAGATAGCCTGATTGAAAGAATTGAGGTAAATTTGGTACATTTGTTGCTATAGTTTTTGTTTGTTTGTTTGTTTTGTGGCTAAACAGCCCATTAAGGACATGTAGTTCTTTAACCTGATTTCCCAGATTAGACTGTAGCTCAGGAGAACTGAGTGATTTGCTCAGGTCTACCCAGCCGTTTATGGGCAGAAGAAGACCCATAATGAGCCGGTCATTGACTCAGTTCTTCCCACTCCATCGCCCTCACTTATCTCGATGCACCATGTGGTGGTTTTCTTCTCCACAAGCTCACAAATCATCTGTGTAATAATCCATGTGAGAATTTTGCACTGAACTGTAGCCCCATTATCTTTTATTTTAGCCTTTCCATGAATCCAGCTCCCTTCTCTGTCTTTGGTGAATCCTCTCGCCCACCCCTGCATCACTGGCCTTGGTTCTTATATACATAAACAAATAAGCAAATCTTCAAAAAAGAATAACACCCCCAAAAAAAAATGGTCCAATGAGCTGTAATTGCTTGGAAGTATCTAATGTTGAGAACTACTCTGAAATATTTATTCCAAGGTTGTTTAAAAAAAAAACACACACACACAACAAAACATGAATAGGCATATTCAATTTTAAAAAGGAAAGACTCCTTTATCAACCAGTAATGTAGAATTATGATTGTCGAAACCATATTATAAAACAATCTGGCATATTATTGCTTTAATTTCCTGTACCAAAACAAAAGTTCTCTTCATGCAATTAATGTACAGCCTATAAATTTCTATTGTCTTGTCCAACATGTTTCTTAAGCAGCTACAAATGAGCAAACATACTACATCCTAGATCTTACCTCATTCACCTCAACCAGGTCCTATAGGAGGAGACTAGGGGAACAATTAAATATAATCAAAATCAGAATTGCTTCACAAGCAATTTCTTTGAGTAATGCAAGTTACAGGTTAGTAATCTCTGCACTTAAAACACAGTCCCCAAATGTATATTACCCAAAAGAGTACAAGATGCATTTTCTCCCAGTAACAATTCTGTTTCAACTGAAGTCGCGAAAACAGAGAACTAGGAGATCCTAGCTGGTAGTCAAGTAGAAGATAACCAGTCTTCACTCAGCCACCAGTGAGACCTGTTAACATAACTGAGATGCTGCTTGTCACAGTCTCATTCAGAGCCTCTCATTCCAAGATGAATAAAAACTTACTTTTTATTGATAAGGAATGACAGGTTAATCACATTTTCAGTTTTTGAGTTCCTTATAAATCACATCAATTCCTGCTGTGTAGTCACCCAAACCTGAGAGTTGGTTGAGACTAAGTATTGGCCAGTGTCACTGTTAGCAATGGGCCAGAATCACAGGACTGCTGCGTTCCGAAGGGTTCATTTGCTTATGGCCTCTGTGCTTGCTCTGACTCAGCTCCTCTTACAGAACTGGTTTTGGTTGTGGCCCACATTAGCAAATACCTTTGCATTACACACACACACATGTTATTTAAAGATACATCTTTATATATAAGTGTGTGTATACACATGGGTGTGTGCACTGCCTCGAATTTTACTGTGTAAAGGCTTTTTAATGTTTTCTATGCTGTTATCTTTCTGTGGCTTTTACATGCTATTCCTGCCTCATCAAATGCAGTTCAGACACTTTCATAGGTAGGAAGGCCTAGTCTGAAGTTCACCCCCTCAGAGTATTGGTGACAGCCCCCACAGGAAGTCTTAATCTGTTCCTAGCACTTGAAGGATCTCCCCTTGCTTTCTAGCTTCATCTCTTACTTTCCTCTGAAGGTTAAACTCAAGGCATAGAGAACTACTTACATTTTCTTGGAGATTTGAAAACATCTCTCAAGATTTCTATACAATATATGCTATGAACTGTTCACTCCTGAATCTTTAGTTCGACACAGTGTCAAGCATATACTAGCTTTATAGTAAATATCAGCTGAATAATTAATGAATAAACAAATTTACAAAGCACTATCGAAATGTATTCAAATAATGTACTTTGATAGTAATGTCCCATTGACTTCATGCTGAGAATTCGGGCATAGGCTACAGAAAGAAGAAAAGACAATTAATAATCCAGAAGCCTATTGAGGAAAATTGTAATCTCTGACAGTGAGAGTACACAGTTTCACAAACCTGTTCACTCTTGAAAAATGTTCACCTACTTATCATGTCTTCTGAATTTTGATCATCAACAAAGCAAGAGAACAAGTAAAGTTGGTTGCATTTTTTAAAATTGAGATTCCAGTAGTGAATAACACTGTATATGAATCAGAGGCATAGATTTACACGTCTTCAGATGATGTATTCTGCTCCATCTTTTACAAAAAAAAAAATGATTTAGATAATATAAGCTCGAATGGCCTAAGTTCTGGCTACTGCATAATTGCTTCTGCAGTATAACAGAGAGAAAATAATTAGCCAGTCTAATTGCTATTGAGAAGTGCTCAGTGGTGATTATCGTCACTGGCCTAGAGAACCTGCCTCACCATCTTCAGAAGCAGCACCATGTTATACATCAGAGGGTCTCACACTGTCTTGTGTGTGTGGACCAGCTGTGGAATTTTTGTTAAAATACAGATTCCGATTCCATCTGGGAGGGGGCCTGAAGTCTGTGCCTCTAATAAGGTTGCAAGCGAAGCTGATACTGCAGGCCCCAGACCATCAAGGAAGGTGCACAATACACTGAAGAGTTTCTGTCGTCTCAAGGGTATACTATTTACTGATGTCATATGTCCTCATTATCAAGGAAACCGGGCACCACTTGGCCCTAGTTGACCGGTAGTGCTGGAAGAAGTGTTTTAGCAAAGTAGCAGGTCCTTTTTCAAATTAAAAGACACCAATACTCTACAATACTTTACATCGAGAATCTTTTTTTTTTTTTTTAAAGATTTATTTATTTACGCATACAGAACTG